CTCCCTGGGGTGCCCCGGGCACCCTCGGCTCCCCTCCTGCCTGCTGCACTCCCTGGGGTGCCCCGGGCACCCTCGGCTCCCCTCCTGCCTGCTGCGCTCCCTGGGGTGCTCCGGGCGCTCTATGGGGTCCCCCTGTCACCCCCGGCTGCCCCCCTGGCTGCTGCACTCCCCGGGGTGCCCTAGTCCTCTCCGCCCGACCACCGGTCTGCCACCCTCCCTGGGTTGCCTCTGTCGCCTCCGGCACCTCCCCGGCCTGCAGCACCCCCTGAGGCGCCCTTGTCGACCCCTGCTGACCCCCTGGCTGCTGCTCGCCCTGGGATGCTCCTTGCAACTTGGCTGCGTGTCGTCTCCCTCTTCGGCCCCGAGCTCGCGACCTTTTCGCTTGGCCTGCGCCGCCCGGGCTAGCGACCCCCTGCTGAACCCGCGCCTGTTGCTCTTGCAACCCACTGATCGGCTCTTCAAGTTGCATGCTTCTACGCTCTTGGGGCCGGTTCCTTTCTCGACACCCTTGCTGCTCCCCTTCTTGCGGCTGAGACTGATTCTCCGTTTGACACCCCTCCTGTACGCTTCCCTGCCGCTCTCCCCCCCCCTCCTCCTGTGCCTCCTCCATCTCCACCTCCAACACCTGCGGCCACTCAGCTTGCAGCCCAAGCTGTCTCTCGACCTGCTGCTCCGTTACCATTCCTATCTCTATCTCCATGTCCACTTCCGACTCCTGCTCCCCCCCAGCCTGCGGGTCTTCCTTCCCCTCTGCCGGCAGCTCTTGCTGCCTCGTTGCCTGCGGCTCCTGCTGCCCTCCAGCCTGCAGCTCTTGCTGCCTTCCAGCCGGCAGCTCCTGTTGCCCCCCCATCTCCATCACCATCACCGCCTCCGAAGCCTGCTGCCCCTCGACCTGCCGGTCCTGATCCCCCCCAGCCTGCGACTCCTGCTGCCCCCCAGCCGGCCCCTCTTGCTGCCTCCCAGCCCGCAGCTCCTGCCGCCTCCAGGTCGGCCCCTCTTGCTGCCCTCCAGCCTGCAGCTCTTGCTGCCTTCCAGCCGGCAGCTGCTGCTGCCCCCCCATCTCCATCTCCGCCTCCAAAGCCTGCTGCCCCTTTGTCTGCGGCTCCTGCTCCTTCCCAACCTGCGGGTCCCATACAACCCCAGCCTCCAGCTCCTGCTGCCTCCCAGCCTGCAGCTCCTGCTGCCCCCCATCCTGCAGCTTTTGCTGCCTTCCAATAGGCAGCTCCCATTGCCTCCCCATCTCCATCTCCAACTCCAACGTCTGCTCCCCCTCAGCCTGCAGGTCCCGCTCCCCCCCAGTCTGCGGGTCCTGCTCCCCCCCAGTCTGCGGGTCCTGCTCCCCCCCAACCTGCGGCTCCTGCTCCCCCCCAGCCTGCGGCTCCTGCTGCCCCCGGGCTTGCGGGCCTCGCCGCGCTCCTTCCCCTTGACCCCGCGGAACTCCTGATTTGCGCCTCCGTTCCTGTCTTCGGGCTAATCGGGGACCACATGTCGTTGAGTTGTCGCATCTAGTGAGTGCCGGGCGTGCTAAAGGGGTGTTAAGTTCTCGCCGACGCTTGTCATGCGACTCCTGTAGACGCTGGCGATGTGCCTCCCAAGCTGCCATCGCCGCGTCGGAGGTGTTGCCTTGCCTGTGCTCTCCATTGCCACTTTCGACCACTTCTCTAGTGGCCACGCCTAGGTCGGTATCGAGGCGTTGCCTCTTGGTCAGATTGTCGTGGAGGCACCTAGTGACTTTGTCGCACATGCCGCGGACGAGTGGTCCCTCCTGCTGCTCCGTAGGCTCTCTCCCCCTCTTGTGCCCGGCTATTGGGCAGGTCGCCTTTGAAGTCATCGTTGTCATTCGTTCCTCCGTGCTTCCGGTGGCCCATTTCGCCTTGCCGTCACGTCCTCCTCCCTCCCGGACCCCGGCATCCCCGGGGTCCGGGCTGTCTTCCATGGTTCCGCTGTGACGTCACGTGTCTCGATGTCGGGGCGTGGATCCCGCACCTGGGCAGCCGGTCTCAATGTGGGGGCGCTGATTTGCAGCGCCGGATCTGAGGCTCGTCCTAAACGGCGATTTCGCTGGCTGGCGCGCTGCAGAGCGTCCTAAGCGGCGATTTCGCTGGCTGGCGCGCTGCAGAGCGACCTAAGCGGCGATTTCGCTGGCTGGCGCGCTGCAGAGCGACCTAAGCGGCGATTTCGCTGGCTGGCGCGCTGCAGAGCGTCCTAGGCGGCGATTTCGCTGGCTGGCGCGCTGCAGAGCGTCCTAAGCGGCGATTTCGCTGGCTGGCGCGCTGCAGAGCGACCTAAGCGGCGATTTCGCTGGCTGGCGCGCTGCAGAGCGTCCTAGGCGGCGATTTCGCTGGCTGGCGCGCTGCAGAGCGTCCTAAGCGGCGATTTCGCTGGCTGGCGCGCTGCAGAGCGACCTAAGCGGCGATTTCGCTGGCTGGCGCGCTGCAGAGCGACCTAAGCGGCGATTTCGCTGGCTGGCGCGCTGCAGAGCGTCCTAAGCGGCGATTTCGCTGGCTGGCGCGCTGCAGAGCGACCTAAGCGGCGATTTCGCTGGCTGGCGCGCTGCAGAGCGACCTAAGCGGCGATTTCGCTGGCTGGCGCGCTGCAGAGCGTCCTAGGCGGCGATTTCGCTGGCTGGCGCGCTGCAGAGCGTCCTAGGCGGCGATTTCGCTGGCTGGCGCGCTGCAGAGCGACCTAAGCGGCGATTTCGCTGGCTGGCGCGCGTTACCTGATCAGCAAGGGGCAAGTTTTTTACATAGCATGCATAGCATTCGTTTCCTGGGACTGTGCCGAATCGAATTGAACCCTCTCGACTTCTGTTTGCTCTAATCGTCAGAATGGAATCCTAGCATCCCATCCCATTCCAGGATCACATTCAAACCGTCTGGCTACAGTGTGACTTCAACATTCTCCTGGCTTTCACATCATTTGCTCTTGATCATTCAACTCATTGAACTCAATGGCTCGCATGGCGTTCTCGGTGGCCTCCGAATGTCGTTTTACAGGTCGCATTCTCGCAGAACCAGTGTAAAACATCGTCTGAACCGTCAAGGCAGCAAAGCTTATGGTTAGAATGTAGCGCAGGTGGTGGCCGTCAGGGTCGTTGCTTCGACGAAGCGGCTTTTATGGCTGTCGGATGAGCAAATCTTCAATAACGGTGCGCGTGGTTTGGCCGCTAGTTACCTTTCGCTTTACTGAGTATGTATACATCGGAGTATTATGGAGGCCTGCCTGAGTGCATTCAGAGGGTTTTCTTTACCACGCATTCCACACATGCAATGCTGGACCCATGTGATAAAGGCAGAGGAGAATCTGGAAATTTCACCTCCTGTTCAGCTCGCTTTGGGGTGTGTGAAGTTGATCAGGGGATCCATGAAAGCTCTTCAACGCCGTGACGGACCCAGCGTCATTCCTTCATGTGATAGTGTGTCTTTCCCTGCTTAGACTAATCGTCCTGTTTTGCCTTTCAGTTTTCCACAAGTTCTTTCACTTCTTATGTCTTGGCATTGACTGTTGATGCAAATGCAGGCTCAGTGAAGCTTCTTTCCATGCTCCATACTCCTCATGGCCAGCAAAAACTTTTTTGCCACGAGCTGACGAAGTTTCAGCAATGTCAGCATTATGTTCATATTGTCCAACCTTGAGAACCTGACAATGTTCAAACTTTAGTTTCAGAAACTTTCATCTTCCACTATTGGAATGCTTCTGGAGGGACAAGTGCTACAATCAAGGTCAGGTTCTTAACATATCGTGATTTATAGGCTCATGCCACCTGTGTTTTACTGCAGCCCTATCAGAACTCAGGATCATGGACTGATAATTTACATGGAACAAGTTGCCTGATGTTTCATCTACATTTCGCAGGAAAGGAACATTTTCTTCACAAAATGCTGTGCTATCTACACTCTGATTGGCCTACCGTGTGTTATTTGCAATCAAAGTGATATCATTCCAAGCACAAGGTATCGTATTTCATAACCAGAGCTATTTCTCAGGTGTATGGTGACAAGGATTATAGGCACCACTATCTTCCTTCTGAACAATGAAGCAGGCTGCAGGATTTGCAGCTCAGGTTTTACAATTCTCCAGATCGTCGAGAAGGGTTTTAGGAGCGCAATCGACGGTGCATGTGATGTACACGTCATATTCTTTTTTTTCGCTGCTCGATTTGGTGTCGGTGTTGGCCGCTGTACAAAATCGTGTCGCCAAGCATATCACAGGATCTGGTGGCACGAACAATTTTGATGACGGAGCGGGCAGGTTACACTCCTTTCACGTGGCAATATCATTGCTGACGTTGGAAGAAAATGCCTGGTGACTATCATACGTTCTTGCATGGAGGCCAAGCTTCCTGGAATCTGTTTCTTCCTGCCATGGATTGGTGCCACGGGGCAAGCAGATTTTAACGAAGCGCGTGCCCAGGCAACGCGGGCAGGCGAACAAGTCATTCGACTCCCATCCGAACCAAACAAGATGTGTGTGTGCCCTTTGGGAAATTTTGTGTCAGCGGCAGCGTGATTGTTTATTCTTCGTGGAGTCGCGTCGCTTTTTCTCATGGGGTTTGGGAAAACGAGTGGGTTGGATGGTGGACCATTGCTGTGCTATGTGTGTGACCAGCATGCTGAAGCCGTTGAGCAGCACACTTCGAGAGGCGGCACAGGGGGCGAATTCGAAGGAGGCGAAGCAGAACCCAAGGGAAAATCAAGAAGGAAAGCCACACAGAAGAATGGCGGTGGTGTAGGGGTTATGGTGCTTGCGCAACCCCTCCTCAACCCAGTCATACCTTCTGCTTCGCCTGTTTCCAAAGACGTTTACCATGTCGCCTGTGTACGCCCATGGCCTCTCGCGAGCATGATGGGAGACAAGACGTGGCGCGAATCGCCACCGCAGCAGCAGGAGCAGGCCCAGAAGCAGCCGCTCGAGAGCCAGTCTTTTAGACTTCGTGCGAATCTTCTGAACTCGCTGTCTGACGAACCACGTGAAACGCAGCAAAATTTGCTGCGTGAAGCATGGGGAAGCAAGGGCCATGCAACCACTGCGGTGTGGCTGGTGGGTTTATCCCTCTTCGCCTCTTGGACCCTCAGTTGTTCCTCCTTCCAACTGTTTTGATTCATAGTCCATTTCGCGCCTCGAATTCCGTTAGTTTAGACGACAGTTCTCCTTTGCAAGTCGCGCGGATAGAGCTGTCGTGGCAAATCCCTGGTCACACAACAATCATTCACCTCAAGAAAGGCTTCCTGCGCTGCTTTCGAGTCACCTTCTCGCCCTCGTTTAATATTATTCGATTTTCCTCTTTCTTTCGCTTCCTGCACGACTCTCCCCCTCGCTTCCCACTCGTGGCCGGCGCCTCGCTCTCCGCCATTGCGCCGACGGGCCAGTCACTCCGTTGTGGCGCAATGGTCCCCCTGAGAAGCCCGTGCTCTGCAACGCGTGTGGCTCGCGGTGGCGCACGCGCGGAACTCTGGTTAACTACATGCCGCTGCACGCGGGCGGGCTCGGGCTCTCCTCTGCCGCAGCCACCAAGTGGCGCCTCAAAAATGCCGGAACGCGCCAACACCCGCATTCGCAGTGCCCAGGCGCAGCCAACGGTAAACGAGCGGACGGCGACGAGGACGGCGGAGCGGAGGCGCAGAAGGGTGCGGATGCGTGGCTAGCGGAGAAGGGAGCGGGGAGGACGGCGCAAGGGGGTGGCGCGCGAATGGGGAGAGGGCTACGCGGAAGGGGACCTGGAGTCAAGCGGAAGGGCTGGCAGAGGGCACGTGGAGGGGTGCGGGGTGGGGAGAGGAGCGGGAGCGTTGGCGGGTGTGGGATGGAGGGGCAGGGTGATGCGGGATTGGGTAGAGGGGCGAATGAAAGATGGGATGATGAGATAGAATTAGACATGGTGTGGGGCGACGATGATGATGACGACGATGAGAAGGGCATGGAGAGGAGCGGAGTAGGGGACACTGGCGGAGCAAGGAAAGGTTGGGCACACAGTGGAGCGAGTGGACGAGAGGGAATCGAGGATGTGATGCTAATGGAGGACGATGGAAGTGTGGTGGCTTCTGACCGGTTGCAAGGTGTGCAGGTGCAGTGTGTCAGTGTTGACAGTGGGATCCACGTGCAAACAAACCATGTACCATGTGGCATCAATCTCACGCGTGTAGCCGCTGGATGGAGTTGTTTGAGGCGCCTTAAACTCGCTGAGTGGTGAGAGACCGCAGGCGCTGGAGATAATGTCTCGCCTTCCGCTTCACTCCACTGGCTCCTGCTCCAGCTCATCCGCGTCTCCCACCCTCCACTTCCCCTGCGACCCACCTCTCCCAGGCGTGCCCATCCCCCCCAAGCGCAGGTCTCTTGGCGGAGGTGGTCAGCAGTCCTCCGCATCCATGTATGGCGCGGGGTCCGGCAGTGGCATGCGGCCGCGCAGCCAATCGGAGGCGGACCTCACCACGCTGCGGTTGAGGCACTGTGCGGGTGGCGGAGGGGGGAAAGAGGGCTCGTGGCGAGAGAAAGGCGCGCACGCACGTGGGGAGAAGGGGGTGAAGCGAGAGGGAGATATGGACGTGGATGAGGGAGTGCAATGGGTCGAGGAAGACGATTCGTTTGTTGACAAAAGTCTTCAAGGTTCTGGGAGGCGGATGGATGGACGAGGTGGTAGGAGGGGACAGGAAGAGATGAGAGAGGTGTGGATAGAAGAAGGGGAAGACGATGATGCTGGGGGAGGGGAGGAAGATGTAGTGGAGGTTGAGGAGGAAAAGAGAGCAGGGGAGGAGGGAGAAGAAGAAGAGGATGAAGGTGACGAGGATGGGCAACTGGAGCTACTACAGCATGTGCCCAGTGGTCAACGGGACCTTGTGCTCCTCACCATGCCTTCTCCTCGCTATCGTTTACTCACTACCCCGTCCGGTGCTGCTGGTGCTGGCGCCGTGGTGGGGAAGGGTACGGTGGAGGGCGCGGTGGGGGAGGGAAGGGGGGAGCGAGTGGGCATGCATCGAGTCGCCAGCGATGGCAGCATATGGCGGGATGGGGGGAGGACGGGTGGAGTGGGAGATGTGGACAAGGGTGGGATGACGGGGGCGCGAAAGCAAGGTGGTGGAATTGGCGTGGGAGGCAGAGGGCACGCGGCAGTTGCGAGTTCGACAGAGTAAGGCACTCTCCCTTTGTCTCCAATGTTTCGTTCTCGTCATCAGCACTCTACTTCTACGCGCTTCCAATGAAGGTGCAATGTCATGTTTCTTCTGTCTGATTGAGCATTGATTGCTCGCCTCTGTTACAATGGCTCTCTCTCGTCCCTCTCTCACACAGGGCTTCTGGTATCATGTCTGACGATTTCCTCCTCTGTTCGCCACACTCTCCTCTGTGCTCAGTGAACCTCACTGTAAGACTCGTTTTCTTGCTCGCTCGTTTTTCTCCTTTGTTCCAAGTGCTCACTCTCTGCACTGCATTCTCCGGTTGCACATTCTCCTGGCTTTTTCAGCAATCCTTGCCTCCTATACTGGGTTTCTGTGTGTCGTGGCCATGCTTCTTTGGCAGGACATAGTGAACGCCTCCAGTCTCTACCGCTGCATGGACCACGCACAAAAGAGTCAGCTCGTTGCCATGCTGCCTGCTGTCGACACTGCCAATGGCTCCGCCAGGTGATTGCAGCAGGGACACACAGCAGTGCTGTGAATGCATGACATGGCATGGCATGGCGTGGTGTGGTATGTCACGAGAATGTAGTGTATGCGTGTCGTTCAATCATGACCTCAGTGTACCCGTCAGTGCACTTCTGCTGTATGTGTTCTTCCACTTGTGGCGTCACTATGATGCTTTGTCCATCTCCTTTCCCTTCCCCTCTCCGTTTCCCCCCACCAGTGTGGAGAGCATGTTCCGCAGCAAGACGTTTCTGCGAGCAGTCAAGAACTTCCAGAAGCTGCTCGCGCAGGGCATGCTTGACGCATCTTCCCTGCCACCAGACACAGCGCACCTCTTCTCCTCCCTCACCTCCACCACGTGCCTTGACCTCTCGGCCTCTGGCTGGTGGCAGCGCTGGGGCAAGGCTTATGCCTCCTCTGCTTCCGTCTCTCCCGCTCCACCACCTGCACCAACACCAGCCGCGCCAACCCCACCACCACCACCACCGCAACCATCACCTCCACCACCAACACCACCTGCAGCTGCTTCTGCTGCTGCTACTGCTGCTATGATTCCTCCCAGTGTATCTGCAGCAGCTGCTGCTGCTCCCACTGCTGTTTCTGCTGTTGCTTCTACGCCCGCCACTGCTGTTGCTGTTCCTTCCACCATTTCGCCTGCACCTGCTACTGCAGCAGTGGATTCTCGCGCATCCGCCCCTTCGTCGACTGCAATCAATGGACGTGGCAGCACTGCTTCTGGTGCTGCCAGTGAGGCTGGTTCTGGCAGTACATCTGGTGCTCCCAGTGCTTGTACCGCTGGTGCTGCTGCAGCAGGTGGACACCCAGGAAGCCAAGGCATGTCGCTGTCTCTCGGGCATCCTCAGTCTACATCAACACCATCAGGTGAGGGAAGAATTTATCCAAAATGTTGATTCTGGTGTGATTAATCCTGCCAACGCCGTTGCTCTTATCTCCCCCCATTCTACCCCTCAAATATTCCCCTTGCTCTACCATCTGCGTTGGCTTCAGGTCCTTCTCCTGGCATGTCAACAGTGCCATCTTCTTCACCCAGTGCCCGCTCTACTCTAAGCAAATGCACCACTGCTACTGCTTCCACCACAGGACCTGCTGCATGCAGCAGTGTGGGCAACGAAGTGACAGCAGCTGATGCGCCAGCCAGAGGGTTCAGTGCAGTGTCTGGGTCTCAGAAGAAGCCACCACTGGGTGCACAAGCAATGGCAGCACCGGGCGTGGGAGCTGGACACAAGTCTCAGAGAATCCCTGCCACGACTGCTACTGCTGCTGTTTCTATTCCTGCTGTGTCTGCCACTACTGGTGCGTTGGCAGTTCCAGCACGAATGACTGATATGGCAGCAGAAAAGGCAGCAATTGCGATTCCAGTGCAGGAGCAGCAGCAGGCAGGAAGAAGGGTTCCACCTGTGGTAGCTGCAGGTGTGGGGGTAGGAACAGGTAAAGTCGCAGAGGCAAACGATGAGGACGAGGAGGATGGGGCATTTGCTGCTGTGTGTGGACATGTTAAAGTGCCACAACAGCCCAACCGTAACCAAGGTTTGTCCCTCCTTCACTCGATACGTATATCCACTCTTACCATGTCTGATTGTTGCTTCTCAGCCCGTTTCCTCATCAGCCTCAACTTGTGATGTCTCGGGCTTCACCGGTGACAAATATCTCTCTTGCATGTTTCTTTCTGCCTGGACACCCCCATTGCAGCTGCCCGTGACCCGTCACATTTCGCCCTGTCAGCCAACTTCTTCTCGGGTTCCTCCCTACTTTCTGCCTCCCCTCCCACTGGTACTACCACTCCTTCCCCTCCGCCTTTCCACACCTCCATCCTCCCCTCCCACAACCCTCACCATTCCTCATCCGGCTCCTCTGCTTCGTTAGCCCGGATCAACCCGTCGGCGTCGGTAACACCTGCGGCCGCCCCCCCATCGTATCATGGGGCCAACACATGGCAGAAGCTAGCAGCTGCTGCAGCATCAACAAGGCCTGCGGTGTCCACTGCATCACCTGCTGCAGCCACATCCGTTATAGGAAAAGGAGTCGTCGCTGTTGGTATCACTACCAGGAGGCCACTCGGTGTGCCACCGCCTGGTGCGACATCAACGGGTGCATCAACGGGTACAGGTTGGGCATCAGGAGCATCAGGCGCATCAGGAGCGTCAGATTTAGGATCTAGATATACGCTTGGGGAAGGCGTACTGAATGGGCGGCTGATTGTGGCCCGTTCTGTGGATATGTACTCGGACCCTCTGAGGGACAACCTCATGTGGGATAGCTCCTCGGATACTGGTGGTGCTTGCAGTGTCATTGTTCCCCATGGCGCTACTGCAATGCAAGAGCCACTAGAGTGAGGTACGTTACGCCTGCGATTGCTCAATTTGAAAGGAGTCGCACTGTGTCTTTAATTCAGCACGTCCTAAAATGCTGCCCGTTTTTGCGGTCTGTGTTTCGCAGCAATGCAGGCAACTAATTGTGCTGAAGATGTTATTGCAGCATTGAGATTCAGTGCTTGCTCATTGATTTAGTGCTAGAATCAGGATTCAATCAGGATGTTTTGCTTGCGTTTGTGTGGATTTTACATCTTGATTTGGGCCTACATTTTGGACTGTGTTACGATATCTACTGAGTTTGTTACCATCCAGTCTAAAACAAATTGTATCATTGTCTTACCACACATACCTTACCGTATCTTTTTGGCTTAAAAACGTATTCATTTTCTATTGCCAGCTAGCACTCCCATGTGGTTCCGTGCTTGGTATTATATGAAAGGCATAATTCCATCCTATCACCAGACCAAACAGGAATTCTCCAGAATACATACACCAGTGGATAATAACTTTACATACGTTTCAGCAAATCCTACACAGCTCAGAATTAACATGCTGCAGCCACAGGCTCCAGTTCAAATGCAGACTCCTCCTGTGCCATAGCTGATGCTTCTGCCACCTCAGCCATTTCAGGCACCACCTCTTCGGAGAGGGGCAGTGGGTCAGTGTCTCTGATGATCTCCCGGGATGGCAGCAGCATGGCAGCAATAGGTGCGTCCAGCCCCCCGGCCTCGTCTATGATCAGCCGCAGGCGCCGTGATGTGTCCAGCACGCCATGGTGCCCGCTCACCACCAACACATTGTCCCTCTCCAGCTCCTGCATTCACCATACAGGAAGGCGTCCCATCAGTAAAACAACATTCAGTCGGCGTTGTAATCAAAGTAGCGGTGCAGGCTTTGACCACGTCCAAAAACTCAAGCCTTCATGTTTGCAGGGTCATATTTGTAAGCACGGATTCTTATAGGCAGCCGGCGACCAGATTAGGAATTCCTCAGCCCTTAACTGTTAACACCCATCACTACATTCTCCCCACGTTCTCACCTCGGGATTGTCCCACACGTTCTTGCGACCGCTGAGCGCCTCGTATCGGCTGGCGACGGGCTGTCGCCGGCGGAGCTCCTCAATCTGCTCGGCCAGCGGCCGGTCCTTGTCGAACCCCGCGTGCACCGCGATCAGCCTGCTGTAGCTCGTCGCCGCATCGCCCGTATCCACGCCGGGCTGCCATAACAAGGAGGGTTGGAAAGACCAAGGGGTCGAGGAGGAACGAGCGTACACTAACGGTTGATAGTTGTTGAACGAGTAGAGAACGATCCCGCAGTGACGATGTGTCTTGGGTTATTTTCTTGTGATGTTGTAGCGAGAGTGAACCGCTTACCGCCTCGTAGATCCAGGAGAGGTTGCGTAGAAACTCCTTGTGCGACTCGGGCACCGCAGCGATGAGCGCCTCGCGGTTGCCGAATTCCGCGCCGTACGAGCGGAAAGTGGCGCCCGCGTCGTACGTGGACTCGTCGTACGGCCGCCCCTTCTTGCTGATGCGGTCCTTGATCTTCCCCGCCCACCTGCGACCCTGCACTCGCGCAGCCACGCGGTGGAGGAAAGAGAGAAATATATTAGAGGTTGGCACGCAGGAAAAGGAGTCGAGGTTCGTATGGAATTGGTCTCGCACGTGCAATCACGGACTTTTGCAGTGCATGCGGTGAAAAGACATATAAATTCTGTCGACGATGCGCGTCGTACCTGCAGGTGAACGTTCTCCATGTCGTCGCCCTTCCACCATCCCTCGCGCTCCTCGTCCTTCTCCGCGCCTCGCCACGTCTCCGAGAACTTGAACCCCGCAGGCGGCTCGAAGCGAGGCAGCGCGCCGATGAACGACGCGAAAGAAAAGTCGTGGTTGCCGGCCAGAAAAACGTGCTTCTGCTGCGGGTAGCGCTCCGGCAGATGGATGAGCCATTCAATGACGTCCTTGGTGCGCGGCCCACGGTCGTTAAAGTCGCCGAGGAAAATCACCGTGCACGTTGCGAAGTCTTCGCCTGCCTTCGCTTCCAGCCGCTTCCACAAATTCACTAATCGCACGTAATGCCCGTGAATGTCGCCCACGCAAATCGTTAGCTTCGGGGCCTCCTGGGCACCATCTTGGGAAGCCATGATAACCGACTAAGGGTGGTGGAACAACGATTGGACAAACAGACGCGGGTGAGAGAGCTGACACGAATTGAAGCAGGCTCCCTTGAAAACTGTGACTGCTGCGGCTGTCATCCAATGTGACTCTGGCGCAAGGCTTCTGTTTAACTTCAGACTGGAGATTCCAGGAAGAAACAGAATTGGCGTGGCGACGGTGAGGGTAACTCAACTTCATAAACCGGTCGAAGGGGGGTTTTAATGTTGATACGATCTTAAGTTTGGTCCCGTTCTCTGCTTTCCCCTTCGTCCTAAAGTATCGGTTAGATTGCTGGTTCCACGGTGTTTAATGGCTCCACGGCTTGAGAATGAGTGACAACGTAGAATCAAGTTCATGGGAGCAAAGGGACTACATTTCACGAACGTTGAAGAGGGCCCTGTCGTGGCATCTTGGTTTCTGAAGTATGAAAATGCAGCTAGGCTTAGATGGCCCGTATCCTGGACCAGCCCGCAATGTGGGTGCTCGTGCTGTGCACACCCGATTTCCATCTTCGCCTGGTCCCCCAACCCCCGAAATTCATCAAAGGGTGTCTGGCTCGGTTCAGGAATATAAGTCCATATTCAATGGTGGAAATGCGGGGTGATGTAGGTTGTGGATGGGCGGAACTTGACCTTGGAGGAGAAGAAGCCACGGGATCTAGCGGTCAAGACACTCCGAACCGACATCACAACAACTGAGGTCTGACCACAACCACTGATGCGCCACAACCACACACGGTTCGCCACATGATCACCACACCGTACATCAGCGGTGGAGCACAGTACCTGAACTTAGGGAGAGTGATCCCGCACAGCTCCTTTGATATTGGAGTAAACTGACGCCGTACACGTGGATCGATGCACACCACCACTAGTGCTTCGATAAGAGGGTACCATCACACCCGTGGTGAAACAACTGGTTTGAATGGGTTTCTCATGTGTATTACCTTGATGCATTACCAGTTTATGAAATACTTCGCATACGAGAATGAGATTGCTGCACAAGCGACATACAAGAGGACAACCTATATCAAGGATGAACAAGAGGGGCACAAAACCCGCCACGCTGCACCTGCAACTTGCAGCAACGCACCTGCACGAGACGTGGTGCTGCACGTGATTTTAGGGCTTGTGGCAGACGCGACGAAACCGCCTAACTCCTCTTCAAATGGGAACTGTGATTGTGAGCGAAGCCGATGTGTCAGAAACTCGCACCGCACCGCATCGTGTCCATTCGTGGGGATCGAGGTGGATACGTGAAATGAAAGGCGGAACTGTTAATTCACGCTGCGAAAGAAGACAATGCTGCAGTCCACAAGAAACACATGTACAGTGGCATCGAGAGACACCCTCCGTAAACTGTACTGTACTGTTATGCAGTGGCTGGAAATTTTCCTCCAGATTTGTTCTGTCCAATCCAGTTGGATGGTGGATGTCTTGGACCATGCGTGGCTTCAAGACTGTTATTCTAACATGGCTACAGTTCGCAATCAGGATAAAAAAATAGCAACATGAAATATTTGGAATCAATGTCCCACCCGCCGTAATTCATGGCGCTTCATCTCTCGAATGGGGGCCACCCGTGACCGTGCCACCGTCCGTGCCCCTCATCCCACCCGCCCTCTCCACTCTTGGTGATGCCGTGCTGATGTTTTGTGGTCGTAACTATTGGGCCTCCTATGCTGCGCTGGTTGCGGCGCTTTCCTCGTCACGTTACGTGACAGCATGGATTCCTTCAGTTTGGTTCCTAGGATCCCATCAAAGTATTTCATTTGTTTGCATATGTGTTCATAAAATATAGGACGACATTTATTTGTTTCCAAATGATTTGTCAGTACAGTTTTCTCGCCGAAGACATATCTGCCCATTTTCGACAATTTTTATCACACAATACCACACCACTCATCTAGAAAAGTACCAACGACGCTGACGGTCACTTGTGAATGAGTTCGTGATTCGGCGGCGCCGACGGGAAAGGAATGTCGTGATCTTGAAGATCATCGCTTCCTCCTTCCCTGATCGTTCTCGAGTCGCGCCACTGCCAGTCGCAGTGCGAAGATAACATTCAGAGTATTGGTCCACACCTACCACCCACCATGACGGATCCCATAAATACCTCCTTCACTCTCCGCTGCATAAACTCCTCCGCGCTGCAGCAGCGTCCGTTGATTCCGCTCCTCAGCACCATGCCACCCGACCGTGTCACAGCGCGCCGATGATTCCCTCGGGAACGCCTCCGCTATGGCAGCCGGGGAACGATCCGAACGCGCGCGATGGCCCAGGCCGCGCGCCGTTGCATCTCGTGTGCCGGCGGAAGCCCCTTCACCCCGCGGACATTGCGCACATCCGCGCGCTCCTCGCGGCGGGTGCGGATCCAGACCTGCCAGAGGGGTTTGGGCGGTCGGCGCTGTGCCTGGTGTGCATGGAGTCGGGGAACAGCGAGGCTGCGGCGCTGCTGCTGGAGGCGGGCGCTGACGCGAACCGCAAGGACCACCTGGGCAGGTGATCGCCGTAACATCTCACGAGCGGATTTGGCGCTAAAGATTGTCCCTTCTTGACCTCCTGAGAAAAGAAGCGAGCTTTAAGTTCGCGGTGCCTTCGCGTGTCTCGATTTCTTGCACTACTAGCAACAGCTAATGCCGCTCTTCCTCCGCCCATCGGTTCTGGAGCTAGACTATCACGCCTTGTTGAACATTTACTCTACGTACTGCGACACATATCCTCTGAGTCAGGCAGTTTTTTAGTCTGGCGACCATCAGGTGGTCGTGTAGGGTAGGCCGCTGCGAGGAGGCCCTTGGATTTGCAAAATGCATCCTCATTGGTGCTGCTCGGCTCCGACCATCTTTCGTGTAAACCCCTCAGGTCGCCATTGCATTGGTGTGCGGATCGCGGGTGGGTGCGCACAGCTGAGCTGCTGCTGAAGCATGGCGGGGACATCAACATCCAAACACATGTGAGACCACGCAATGCCGCCACTGGATAGTATTCTACCCTCGCCACCGCCCTTCTCCAATCCCTTGTTCTCAATATGACTGACATTCTGACGTCTCTGCTAGCCCGACCCGCTCTGTTTGATGCAGTCTGGTGACACGCCCCTTCACTGGGCTGCGAAGGCAGGCAGAAGCCTGGTGGTTGAGCTGCTTGTCGCCGCAGGTACGTGCTCTGCTGCACAGCTTTTCGTGATCTCTAATTGTTTGTTATGCCAATTGTGCTAGCCTAGCGGCATGTGCAACACAACTGGATGCACCCTTTTGGTTTGCCTGTTGTGCCGCCAGGTTGCGCACTAGACATCACCAATAATCGCGGCCAGACGGCCCTGCACGCTGCAGCAGACGTGCACATCCTCTCCTTCCTCTCAGGTACGTTGGGGGTTTTTTTAAGCGACGCATAAGGTCGTTTTGTTTGCGATCTCTTGGCTGATTGTGCCATGTACTGACTTGCCTCTATCCCTCGTTCTCCCACACCCAGGCATGGTGAAGAAGCAGGAGGCACATGGGGAGGCTGATGGGGCATCGAGAGTGGTTGGGAATGATGGCAAGGACGGATGTAGTCAGGACCAGCTGCAAACGAAGCATAGCAGGCAAGTAAGGGAGCAACAGTCGGACGCAGGAGGCGCTTACTGGATCACTTCCTCTGCCTCTCATCCATCCATGCCTGACTGGGTGCAGCTGGCTCATTCCTGCCCTCCCATGCCCATCCGCCCCCCACCGACTTCAAGCAGTGTTGACAGCCCACGTTCCCCAGCGGGGGATGGTATGGTGGGCAATGCCGCGGTGGGGATAGAACCGCTGGCAGAAAGGGAGAAGCAGCACACTGAGGGATCAGCAAGGGGAGTTGGGGATAGCTTGGCAGATGCTGGACCCAGTCAGTCGACTGCATTGGCTCAATCACACTCGGTTGTTATGCAATCACGGCCTGTTGCATTTTCTGCATATCGCAAGAAGCGAAACGTGGAGGAGGGGGTGGCAGAGAAGGGAAAGCGGATCAAGATCAACTTGCGAAACAAGGAGCCGCGCAATAGCGGCCGCGATTGACAGCAAGCGAGCCCTGCAAGTGTCATTGGGTGTACCATGGACGACAGAGCCAGACCCCATTAGCACTGGCAACTTGACGTCCTCAGAAACAACACAGTCAGATCCTCATGCACGTTAGCATGCTGAGGTGTAAGGCATAGTGCCCCATTGTGCCTTTTTTCGACTGTGAAGGCAATTTTGACCACAGACCACTTGACTTGCTTCGCTCATACAGTTGTCTTCTTCCTCTCCTTGTCTCATTTCCGCTTTTGCAGTGCTGGTTTCTCTCAAATCTTGTGCCTTTCTCTGTGGTCACGTGTACCTCAAGTGCTTAGCTCGACCAGGTGTCTACAATGATAACCACAGCGCGATTTAAATGTGTATTATGACCATGTTCATTCAATGCCTATCGTGTCACTGGATAGGGCAATGTGCAGGACTGTATGTGAGTGAGCTTGCACCAGTTTCATGATGGGTGGTTGGAGCAAGTTATAGTTCTGTAACGTATCTGTCTGCTAGAGTGCAGTAAGTGGCCTTGCGTGTTCTTGCAGTAGCCCCGACTAGAAGAAATCATGTGATGACCTTAATGGAGGAACAAGTGTACTGTATCTGGGAAAAGCTCACAGCGAGATTCGCCCAGATCCGCGCCAGGCCTTTACCCAGCCAGACCACGCTGGCAATTTACCTTCGGAAATATCTGGTGAGGTGTACACTGAAGGTTTGCGAGTGGTTCGCGGATGATGGATGGCTACGTGCGAACATTTTATTTGACGTTTCGTTTCTCGTCGACCATTTCGAAAGCCTGAACCAGGGGCCCAGCCAGTATCTTGGTTGATGGTGGCATGGAGTGACGCGGAGGTGACGCGGATGTCATGCCCCGATCAGGCTCGGCTTTTGGTGGCGCGCAGGTGGAAACACCAGTGAGTGAGTGAACCCTGGTGTATGCGAGAGGGTCGCCTCACCACGGCGGTGGGTGATAGCCTTGGAGGCAAGATCCACAGCCTCACACGTTTTGTTGGAGCTCTGGACCACCATTTTTGCTCAGCGTTTTCCTTGACTCAGTTTTTGTACAGCAGCTCTTCACTCAATGTTGCTGACTTCCATAACTGTTCGAGGTACTCGCGATTACCCTAAGGCGAAGCGACGTCAGTGAGCGAGTTTCAGTTTCCAATCGTGTTCGCCCTTTCCAGAATGTTTGTGGATCATCTCCTCAGACGCACGGCATATGTGTGTCGCAGGGTGTGAGTTGTGAAGGAACACGTTGGAAAAAATGGTCCAGCAAGGAACTCGATCATCCTCTCTCCATGACTGCCACCGACCGGTTCCACCGCCATTTCTCACGAAGACCTATCAGCTGGTTGACGACTCTTCTACCGATGAAGTCGTCAGCTGGGGCTCTGAGCTGGTCACCTTCGTTGTGTGGAAGCCGATGGAATTTGCACGAGACCTGCTTCCCAACTATTTTAAGCACAATAACTTCTCAAGTTTCGTTCGTCAATTGAATACATACGTACGTTCGCATTCTGTTTTTTTTTGCTGAGATTGTCTGCATATGTTGAGTGCTTACACAGACGTCGTTCGGTCTTCTTCCAGGGCTTTCGAAAGGTTGCGCCGACGAGATGGGAGTTTGGAAACGATTACTTTAAAAAGGGCGAGTTTCGGCTGCTTTGTGAAATCCAACGTCGGAAGTCGTTTGTACCAATCGCCAACAACCATATAACGCAAGCTGTACGTAAGGGTATTCATTCGGGTTAAGGAAGTGAGTCTTGGAGTTACGCTGATACTTGTATTCAATCAACGGGTATCAACCTTTGCAGCTGAACATTGTCATCCATTTACCCCGTGTTTTTTTCCCTTTCCTTAGTTCTGAAACTCCGCCGTTTCGCACCCTCCTCTTCTCGTCGTTCTGCAGGGTCCGTCAAAAGCGCCTGAGCCTATCAAAGAAGTTTGTGCTGCTGATGAAGTCGAGCGTCTGCAGTCGGAAAACGCCTTTCTCTCGAGCGAACTCAAGCGCATGCAACGCCTCTATTATGATGCGATTTCGCTTCTGCAACAGGCAAGCGTAAGTTTTTGTCATCAAGACTTGGTAGCTGTGCGAATTCCTCTTACTTTTTATTGACGCGTGGCCTGTTCTACTGTGCAGCAACCACTGGCGCATTCAGGGCACGGTTCAAACAGCGTCTGGTATCCCCGCCCTCCTGTCCCCGTCTTCAATCCTCAACTTGGCAGCAACAGTCATGCAGGGACAAGCATCTCTCCCCCCCATTCCTATGCACCCTCAACCTCCAGCCCAATGCCTCTGGCACCCATTTCCAGCACCTCAGTTGTTCAAGTGAAATCTGAGCATCCAAGTGAAACTGATGCCAAGGCTGTACGCGAGCAGGTTTTAGAGGCGGCACTGGCAGACATGCGACACCGAGTTGCTACTTTCTCGAAAACCTCCGGTTTCCGTCCTGTTGTGCCAGTAGCGGTTGTCTCAAGTGATCCGCGCACTTCGTCCCCAGCATCTTCGGTCATTGATGAAGCCCTCAGCTTACATGTACAGGATACTAGGGCTGCTGGAGATTGCGAGTCAACTGATTCAGAGACACCAAGTACTGAGGATACTTCAGTGGTTGGTAAGAAGCGTGCCTCTCCTCACTGTTCAGCATCTATTGCAGATGAGGCGGGTGTAAATACTTGGGGAAAGAAGCGGGACCTGTCGCCCAATCCTGTACAGGGGCATCCACAGGGTTACTAGTAGCTCATTTATTGACCTTGATAGCTCATATGCAGGATACTCTGCAAACTGAATGGTTGACAAATTTCAACCTTACAAATAATTCAAGTTATTTTGATGGAACAAAAGATGGTGTGCTGGACCCATTAAGAAATAGAGGATGCTGAATATTCATACCGTATTTCAAGCATTGATTGAATGATGGTATGCTGGACATAATATGAAAACACAGGAGGTGCCATATCATAAGCATTTTCAAAGGGCAATATTAGTGGTAACTGAGTTACAGAACCCAACCGCTGCAGAAGGCAAGCTGGGCCCACACTTGCCTCCCAGCTTTGCCCTTCAAAACCCCTCAGAAGAGATAAGTTCAGCCATGCCTTCCAGCACAGGATGACTGCTGAGATCCATGTCAGGTCTAGCTATCTTGTCCCTCAACACCTCCTCAACTTTGCTGCGCATTTCCCTGACCAATATTCCGATGCGGCCAGGAGCCTCAAACTGAATCCAGTTGTCCACAGTGACGAGGCGCCTCTCTGCATTGACGTTGAGCAGACCACCCAGCAAGAGCAGGGCGAAGGCTGGAGCCATGGAGCACTCCCGGATGAAGATCTTGCTGGTCTGAACCTTCTCACTGAACACAAGCCATGGGCTTTCAAACGTGCCCTGAGAGAAGTTCACGCTCCCTGGATGCAAGAACACCCGGCCGTCTGCTTGCGTGTAGAAGCGCACCGCACGAGCTGCTGCATCCTTTTCCACTGCCCCATGCTCTGTCTTGACAAAGCGCTTCTCAGGCCGCTGCACGCGCACCACGTTGGGGTAGAAGCCAGCGCAGATAACACCCTTCACCACCCGCCACGACTGCGAATTCTCGTTGAACACGTCCCAGCGCTGTCCCTCCCCACCCCTGCCTGCTGCACCCTCCACACGGCCATGCCGTGTGCCCTTATCCTTGTCCATCCAGGCAGACACATAATTAGCAGGAAGGAAGCCCAAGGACGCGAGTGACAGCACAAAGTCTCGCCTGAGGCCCTCCATGGCCACCAGAGTGTCTCTCGACAGCCCATTCGCCTCACAGTACGCCCATTCACCTCCCACGCCGCCCCTGCCTCCGCCCCTAGCTTCCACCCATCCCTGGTACGCCACTGCCACTGCAACATGGTCGCTGCGTGTGGCACCAGCAAAGCGAGCCTTGGCCTGTGCAGCCACGTCCCTGTGGGCAGGCGAGGCGAGGAAGAGCGGGCGTGCGTGCGCTGCTGCTGCAGCGATGGAGAGGGCGGGGTCGAGGCAACGCAGCAGCACGGAGAAGAGCAGCATCTTGCCCACGTGCACGTCCAGAGGCAGGCGCGCTAGATGCGCGCCCAGAGGGGAGAGCACCTCTGATGGTAAGTGCAGCGCGGACAGAGACGCCAGGGTTGTGAGCGAGGAGGAGATGGCGGTGGGCGGAGGGGGCGTGAGGGCGAGGGACAGGCACTGGGCCACCGGCATGGATGGCAGCATGGCCTTCACCTGGTGGGATGAGCAGAGGGGGCAGTGCGGGGCACAAGGGTGGAGTGGAGATGAGTGCTGGTGCTTGGAAAACGGTGGGAAAAGATGGAGTGTAAGTTGGAGGGTTGTGGCGACGGGGCATGGCATGGCAAAGGATTGGACTTGGTCCGGGGGCGCGCCTTGGTCCGGGGGCGCGCCTTGGTCCGGGGGCGCGCCTTGGTCCGGGGGCGCGCCTTGGTCCGGGGGCGCGCCTTGGTCCGGGGGCGCGCCTTGGTCCGGGGGCGCGCCTTGGTCCGGGGGCGCGCCTTGGTCCGGGCGCGCGCCTTGGTCCGGGGGCGCGCCTTGGTCCGGGGGCGCGCCTTGGTCCGGGGGCGCGCCTTGGTCCGGGGGCGCGCCTTGGTCCGGGGGCGCGCCTTGGTCCGGGGGCGCGCCTTGGTCCAATGGACTTGGCTCTTTCCAAAGGCACTCCCCTCCTCGCCTGCACTCTCTGCTTGCCGCCCAGCCCCTGATCTCCAGAAACTGAGCTCCAGCCCCTGAGCGTCCACTGCCATGAGCACCGCTAGCATGAGAGCAATCAAAAGCAGCCACCGTACCCTCAACAGTCACAGCAAGCCAAGCCAACCCCCCCCAGCAATCCCCTCCCTTCCCCCTCCCGCCCCTTTCCCCTTCCTCCTTTTCTCCCCCCCTTTCCCTCGTCTCCCTCTCGCCCCCACATCACCTGCAAGCAGAGCGAGTGGAGGGACACGCGCAGCATCTCTGGCGGCGTGTGCGGCGGCAGCGAGTGGAAGAGGGAGCGCGAGTAGAGGCGGATGCAGCACCCCGGCTGTACCCTGCCTGCTCGCCCGGCCCTCTGCGCCGCCGCTGCCTGCGAGAGCCACGCATCGCCCATGACGTCCATGCCCCGCACCACATCGTGCACCACGTGCCTCTGCCGCCCACTGTCCACCACCCACCTGCTCACCGCGGATAGCCGAGGTGGGGGGATGGGTGCAGGAAAAGGGGGGACACAAGGGATGCGGATGGAAGAGGGGGAGTTGAGAGGTTGTGTGAGGATGGGGTGAGGGGAATTGAACGGTGGTTGTGATGTGGGGTAGTAGGGTGTATGCTCGAATGTGTGCATGGCATGGCAGGGCGTAAACGCACACGACATCATCGATGGTGACGCTGGTCTCAGCCACGTTGGTGGACAGCACCACCTTCCACGTGCCCTCGGGCACCGCTGCAAACACACGCTGCTGCTCCTTCTGCGCCAGCGACCCGTGCAGCGCCACCACCACCATTGCCCCCCGCCCTCCTCTCCCCGCTCCCCCCACCGCCTGCTGCAGAGCCCGGCTCCCCTCGAGTTGCCGCTGCAAGTGCTTGATCTCGGCCATGCCTGGCAGGAACACCAGTATGCCGCGCGCCTTGAGAGCGCCTCTTGTCGCCCCACTGCCCGCCCTGCCCTCTGCTGGCTCTGGCACAAGGAGCGATGAGGAAGCAGCACTGCTGCTGCCGCTGCTCGTGCTGCTGCCTGTGCTGTCCCAGCTGAAGGTGCTGCTGGTGTCGCTGCTGCCTGCTGCCCACCCCCCGGCCTCCTCGTCCCTCTGCTGCTGATGGTGGGGGTGGGGGTGGGGGTGGGGGTGGGGGTGGGGGTGGGTGTTGGCGCGAATGATGGCGGCAATGAGGGCTTCTATGAGCTCGTAGTTGATAACACTCTCCTCCACCACTGCCAGCGACCGCAACACTGCCTCACTGTACTGCCCACCCCCTCCCACGCCTCCTCCTCCTGCCACCCCTCCTGCCCCTGCTCCTGCTACCGCTCCTCCTGTCCCCGCTGCTGTTACTGCCCCCTGTCCACCTGCTCCTTTGCCGCCTGCCACACCCATGCCCTGCTCTGCCATGGGAGCAGAGCTCGCATGGAGTGCCACACCACTGCTGCGCCCACTGCTGCTGTTGCTGCTCATCACATCACCCCCTTCTTCTGCCAGAGACTCCCACCCACCCTCCTCCTCATCGCCATCCTCCCCCTCCTCCTTACCCCCCTCCGCGTCTCCCACCTCGTCTCCACCTCCGCCCCCACTTGCCCCCATCCCCACTCCCCCCCCACCCTCCCTACCCGCACCTCCCTCCCCACTCCCTGCCATGCCACCTGCTGGAGTGTTGTTGCTCCTGCCCGCGCCCTTGCGTGCATATTTGGAGTTGCGCCCGATGACCGTGTTGGTGAGGGCGAGTGCGTCTTCCAGGAACAGCTGTCGCACCGGGTGGGTGCGCCCTGGTACTGTGATCAGCGCCGGGCGCGGCAGGTGTGATGCGAGGAGGGAGGTGAGCCGGGAGGAGGAGGGAGTGGGGGATGGGGCGTGGAGCGGGGAGAGGAGGGAGGGCGGGAAGTGGTGGGAGTGGGAGAGGAGGAGGCAGTGGAAGTAGTCTGCGAAGGCGTGTGCGTCGGCCGTGGCTGACATGAGGATGATGCGCAGCCTGCCAGGCACATCAAGGGGTGGGGGGGAGGGGGGGGAGGGGGGAAGAAGTGGGTGGGTGGGGGAAGCTAGAATGAAATGGTGGGTGGGACGAGGAATGAGCAGGAAGGTGGGTCGAGCGGGAGGAGGAGAGGTGAGATTGGTGAGAAAGGGTGTTCAGGTGAGAGAGGAGCGTTAACGGAAAAGAAAGACTACAGTTTGGGCAAAAAAGCAGGAAGCGAGCAGGCAGGGATACAGGAGTGCAATGCGGTACGCACAGAGGCAGCTTCTCCTGCCCTGCCCCCTGCTGTTGAGGCGCCTCAAAAGCCCCCTGCTGTTGAGCCAGGTTGCGTTGCAGGAGAGTGAAGCGCAGCAGCAGCAGCAGCAGGTCAGAATCAAGCGATCGCTCATGCACCTCGTCCACCACCACGTGCGACACCCCTGCCAGCAGTGGATCCGCCAGCAGGCGCCGCAGCAGCAGCCCCGTGGTGCAGAAGAGGAGGTGTGTGCGCTGCGACCGCCGTGCCTCCATGCGGATCGCGTACCCCACCTGGAGGGCCATGGCGATAGGTCCACGCATGCGGATGGCATGGGGAGGGGGGGAGGGGGGATGGAGGAGCGGGTTTTGAGGTGTGTGAAGAATGGGGAAGCTCATCTGAGGGAAGGCAGAGTGGAAGCAGGGGAAGAAGAGGAAGCGGAGCAGGTTGGGGTGGTCTCAAGCGGATTCGCATGGAGGAAACGCACGGCTCCATCACCAAGAAAAGGGGAGCGGGGGAGGGGAAAAGGAGAAGAGGGAGGGAGGGAGGGAGGGCGCGTGGCACTGACAGTGTCGCCGACGGTCTCAGCCCTCTCCTGCGCCACCCTGTTTTTGAATAGGTTTTTGAGTCGACTCAAGAATAGGTTTTTGAGTCGACTCAATAATAGGTTTTTGAGTCGACCCAAGAATAGGTTTTTGAGTCGACTCAAGAATAGGTTTTTGAGTCGACTCAAGAATAGGGAGGGAGGGAGGGCGCGTGGCACTCACGGTGTCACCAACGGTCTCAGCCCTCTCCTGCGCCACCCTGTGTGCGAGGCCCACTGCTGATATGCGTCGCGGCTGCGTGATCACCACGGAGCAGCACGGTGCGGGGCGAGAGGACGACGCGGGTGCAGCAGCGGACTCCTCTAAGGCGCCCTCCAGGATGTACTGGGGCACCTGGTGGGGTGGAACAGAGGGGCAGTGGAGAAGGGGAGGGGGGAGTGACTTTAGAGGCGCCTAAAACAGCAGCGGGGCCCTCCAAGACGCCCTCCAGGATGTACTGGGGCACCTGGTGGGGGGAAGGGGAAAAAGGGAGACGGGGAGATAAGGGCATGAGAAAGATGTGGATGGACGGACGTAGCAGCACGAGAGGAGGTGATTGGAGTGATGATTGCTGAGGCTGGATGAGCGGAGCAGCAGGCAGGGAGTGAGGCATGGCAGGGCGGGTACATGAGCAACAGGGTACAAAGCACCAACGCGAATAAAATAACCCACGATTCCCACGTTCCTTCCGCTTTTCCCTCCCCTTGCTTCCCCTCCGAAATCCCCAACCCCTAGCCCCTAATTCCGTCGTCGCCCTCCCACCCACCTTGTCCGCTCTACCCCAAACCTTCAAGCAGCACGGACCTGCGTGCTCTTGCCGCTGCCAGTGGCGCCACTGACCACCACCACCCACGACTGCTGCAGCGCTGCCAGCAGTTGCGCTCTGCACGGCGCCACAGGCAGGCCCCTCCGCGTGTGCATCATGCCCGCGTGCTGCCTGCTCCCCTGCATCTCCTCCCACCGCCGCTTCAGCCGCTCCCAGTCCTCCCTGGCTTCGCCCTCCCCCATTCCCCGCCTCGCTCCCCTGCCTGGCTTGTTCCCCGCTGTGCTCTGCTGCCACCATGCGTCGTCCCCTGCTGCCCGCACTTCTATGTCCCTGCCAGTACCACCGGCACTGGTGCTCGCAGCAACACCACTGGCAGTCGCAGCAGCGGCGGCAGCCGCAGCGCCTGTGTTGGGAGTCACAGCGAGTGGTGCGGCTGAAACAGCTGCTGCTGCGGCTGGCACCGTAAGGGAGGCAGCCGAAGAGGCAGCAGGTCCGGAGCTGGGAGCGAGGGAGAGGGACGCGAGGTGAGGGAGAAGCAGGGGTGCGTGGGAGGGACCGGAGGAGGCAGGGCGGGGGGAGAGCAGCGAGAGGAAGGCAGGGAGGGCGTGGTCAGCGGCCCAGGTGGCAAGGGAGTGCACGATGCCCATGCCGGGGGGCAGGGTGTGACGCGCGTAGTGGAGCGCACAGGCGGCCCAGAAGCGCAGGGAGAGGGGGAGGGCGGGCGGGACGGGGATGGGGGTGGGGGAGGAGAGGCGGAAGGCGAGGAGTGGGAGGGAGAAGGGGTAGGAGCTGGCGGTGGGAATGATGACCTGGGGGGTAGTGGGGGGGGGAGTGGGGGGAGGGTGGGGGAGAGTGGCGTAAATGTGGCGTGAGGGCCGAGTGAGGGTGGGGGAATGGTGGGAGGAAGAGAGCAGGAGAAGGAGTGGCTGGCCTGGCGGAAGGGGACAGTGGAGGGGAACGTGTGGTGGGCATGCATGCAATGCAGCACAGAGATGAGAGAACAGGCGCAATCGATTTGGCAGCGCACCTCGAGATGAAGCGCAGCAGCATGTGCAGGGGTGCTGTCGTCGCCATCTCCATGCCCACCACCCGCCTCCTGCCTGATCCGCACCGACACCACCACCGCCAGCCCCCCAGCACCGCTCTGCACCTCGCGCACAGCCAGGTCCGGCCCAAAGATTGCCTCCAGCGCCATTCGTTCCTCCTCCCTCGCCTCCCCCACCTCCCCCTCACCCCGCTGCTCCCCTTCCCCCCACTCCCCCCCCTCCGCGCCCCCCTCTTCTTCCCCTTCCGCGCCCTCCCCTCCCCCCATGCCTGGTGCACCGCGCACATCCACAGGGAACCGCTGCTGGAGGCACTGCAGCGCTGCCACCTCGTCGTCTGCACCGGCATGAGCAGTGAGAGAGAGCGCTTGCAGTGCGGAGGGGCCGTCGTAGCCACATGCAAGCAGCCAGCGCAGCTGAGGGGAGATGCCTGACTGCCACTGGTCGACTTGGAGGGCCGTGGCGGATGGCAAGGCAGAGGGAATGGTAGCAGCAGGAGAGGCGGAGTGAAGAACTGCAACGGCGGAGGCGGATGAGGAGGCGGCGAACTGGGCAGGGAGCAGGTGCTCCGGCATGTGCAGGATGAGCCAATCACGTGCTGCCACGTAGTCAGAGCAGTGGGCTGTGGCCTGCTTTGTCCAGTCCAGCGGGAAGCCAGATGCCAGCAGCTGATTGGCCACTGCCTGCCTGCTGCTCTCATCCCCGCTGCCACTAGCAGCCGCTGCTGGCACTGGCGGTGCTGCCTGCAGCGACGCCGAAGCAGCACCAGCGGTTGCAGCACGAGCTCTGGCAAGGTCCAGGCCGGCCTGGGAAGAAGAAGCAGCAGCAGCACTAGCAGCAGCGGTGGGGGCGAACGGGGCAGGCAGGGAGGAGGCAGGGGCAGGAGCGGGAGCAGTGGAGAGCAGGGCGTGCACGAGCTGGCGCTTGTCATCGCTCAGGAACACGTTGGCGCGCTGCACCTGCCGCTGCTGCTGCGCTCGCTCGCGCTCCTCACGGCGCTGCCTGTCCTGGGCGTGGCGCCTGTCGCGCTCCTTCCTCTCCTCCGCCTCGCGGTCTAGCTCCCGCCACTGCTGCCGGTACTCCTCGCCCAACACCCGGTCCATCCTGCCATGCCATGCAGGTTTAAAAATACAAGGTGAAGTGAAAGGAGTGTTAGGCGGTTAACAGGTACAAAGGTAAAGGTACTGCTGCTGCCGGTACCCCTCGCCCAAATACTCGGTCCATCCTGCCACAGCACGCACGTGCACCGGTGAGAGATAGGAGTGTCAGGGGGGTTTACAGTTACAAGGGTGAGGCGTTGGAAAGGTTGGGTGTGGGTGGTGGGATGGGGCAGGGTGAGAGAGTGGAAGCACGGAGGATGTAGGGGCAAGGTGATGGAAATGCAAGCAGTGCGTGCTGCGCGCGCCTCACCGTCTCCTGCCCTCACATCCCTCCCCCCTTACTTTCTCCCCTCTATCCTCCCACATGCACCAGCCCCAGCTCCTCCCCTCCAAATTCCCCTCCTCTCCCCCACACAACCCCTCTTTCCCCTCCCCCCCACCATCTCCCCCTCCCCCCCCCCTGTCACCTGGTGGAGCCCATGACGCGGTGCAGCGCCATGGTGGCCCTGCATGGCTCTTCCATCTTTCCTTCTTCCCAGCCCCTTCCATCTTTCCTTCCCCCTTCCGCCCCCTTCTCCCCCACCCTGCTGCCCCCCTCTTCTCCCCTCCCCCCACCTGGTGGAGCCCATGACGCGGTGCAGGGCCATGGTGGCGGCGCGGTTGTGTGCGTCCAGGGACGAGGGCGCGGGGGGAGTGCCGCGCCACCACACGATGCTGTCCTGCGTGGGGTCGCGCGCGTCCGGGATGATGGCGCGCGCGTGGAAGCCCCCCCCTGGCGCCTCCACCTGCGCGCGCAACAAGGGCGGGGAGGGGAAAAGGATGGGGACGGGGGGACGAAGTGGGGGAAGTGATGGGGAGGGGAGGAAGTTTAGGCGGGATAAGGACGGAGGGGTGTTGAGGGAGGGAGGAAGTGAGAGGAAACTGGAGATGGGGGAAGGGGATAAAGAGGAAAGGGGGAGTGCTTGGAAAGGCGGGGAGACAAGGGGATGCGAGAGGAGGGCGAGGCGAGGCGGGGCGGGGAGGCATGCGCGCACGTGTTTGTACTTGGGCGTGGGGCGCTTGTTCTTCTGGCACCACTCGTTCAGCAGCACCTTGGGCGTCTTCACGTAATACACGCCCCCGCCTCCTCCTCCCCCTCCCCCTCCGCCTCCCGCGCCATTCACCCTCCCCGCGCCGTCACCTCCCCGCGCATTCGCGCCTGCCCCCGCTGCGCCCGCCCCTCTGCCCGCGCTCTGCGCGCCGCTACCAGCTGTCGGCGGCGCGCCGTTGGGAGTGTCCACGTCAGCAGTGGCGGCGGCGGCGTCCGTGTGCTGGCTCTTGACGTGGTCCTTGAGTCGCCCGTCCTGCTTGAACACGCGCTCGCAGTACGGACACGGCAGCGGCTGCGGGGGTCCCGGGAAGGCGGGGAACGCGGGAGAAGCGTGGAAGGGAGGGAAGGCGGGGAAGGCGGGGGACGAGCGGGAGGGGCGGGATGGGGAAAGGGGAAAGGCGGATGCGGGAAGGAGGACGGGAGGTGGGGGAACGAGATAGAGCGAAAGGGAAAAGGGTGAATGCGTGTGGGATGAGGGGGTCGGGGCGGGTTGAGGAGGTGGAGTAGAGGTGGGCGGATTCGGGTGGTACGATGGTCAGTCGTCCGTGGTGCGATCGCACCTGCCCGGTGTTCTTGGCGTTGGTGGGCGCGGCCTTCCCGCCACACCCAGCGGCGCCCGTGCTGTAGATGTGCCGCTTCGCCTTCTTCTCCTGCGCCTTCTTCATCGCTCCGCCTCACCTCCCGCCCACCCCCTCCTCGCGTTTCCCCCCAGCCTCGCTGCTTCCCCCACTTGCACAGCCCGAGACAAGAAGCCAATTGGCGGGCGAATTCGGGTGAGGGGAGGGCGAGGCAGTGACAGTAAGTGGCGGCGGTGGTATCGAGGTGTTGCGGACTGAGTGGAGGCGGGGGAAAGGAGATCAGATCAATAAAGGAGATTCGGCACAGTCTTATTTCGTTGCAGATCAGTAAAAGCTTGTACATTTCAGTTGTTACCGGTATGTTGAAAACTAAAACACAGCATACAGCCGTGTACACCACTTATCCGGAAAATATTCTGATCAACTACAAAACACAAATCTTGACTAAAGCAAACAACCAGAGATGTAGTGAAAGCAGCAGCTATAAAAGAACACCCAGCGCTACTGCTGGCCCTGAGCCTCCTGCTGCATCTGCTGCTGGTACTGCTGAATGACCTGTGCCGTCTGCAATGCCGTGCCCGGATCGTTGCTCGCCACCGCCAGTTGCCGTGCCAGCGCCATCTGCTCCTCTGATAGCGCTGCCTGCTGCCCTGCTGCCTGCTCCACACACACACATTCACACACTCATAGCAGAAACACGTTATGGTATACTGTCTGCCACACACTAGGGAGAGCAACAGCAGCACATGGGGGGCATGGCGGGCATGGGTAGCAGCATGGGCATTGGCATACCTGTTGCACGGCAGCGTCGTTGGGAGCAGAAGCAGCCACGTGCTGCGCCATTGCCATGTTCTGTGCCGCCGTCTCCGCCGCCTCACTCGCCATCTGCGCCACAAACGCCTGTGCTGCTGCCCCTGCATGCTCGCCCTGCATCGCTGCTGCCAACGACGGTGCCACCCCTGCTGCTCCACTCGTGGGAGCTGCTACTGAATAGCTACCACCCGCAGCACCAGGGAGAGATGCTGTAGCTGGATTTGTCACCATGCCCTGCTGCTGCTGCTGCACTGGTGCTTGCATGGGCTGTTGTGGTTGCTGCTGCTGCTGTTGCTGCTGCACCGCCATCTGCGCCGCCTGCTGCGCTATCATGCCCTGTACTGCGGATTCATGCTGCAGCTGTCGCCCCGCTGCGCGTTCGTCCTCCCTCACTGCGCGCGCCGCCTCGCTCGCCGCCATGCTCGCCGCCTGCCTCGCCGCCTGCTGCTGCTGCGCCGCAACTTGCGCCGCCACCTGCATCTTCTCCTGCGCTTGCGCCTGCTTCACGTACGCGCGCTTGCTCGCCTCTTCCGCCTCCTGCGCCGCCTGCACCGCCTCCACTGATGCTGCGCGCGCCTGCAGCGGAGGGCGCACGCGGTGGGTTAAAGAAGAACGAGATGAAAAGCGATTAGATGTCAAATCAGGAAGCACAAATGAGCCGTACTTCCAACGGCAAGATAGCCGCAGCAAATGGGCGTGCGATTTGAGCAGCACGTCGCGGCTCAAATCGTCGCGGCTTCTCCCGCGCGGCGCGCTTGCGATGATGCCTTACCTCCGTTTGCGCGTCCGTCGCCATGGGCGCTCCTGGTTGGCTCTGCTGCTGTTGCGGTTGCGACGGCGACGCGCGTTCCTGCTGACGCTCAGCCATGATCGGTTCGTAGGCGTGCGGATGGGGGAGTCAGGCGCGCGATGGCCGCAGAGCTCTCGTGAATCTCTAACACAGGAGACGAGAGCGCGCAGGAGCTGCAGTGCAGTGCACTAATCCTGGTAAGCGCCAGCGTAGCGAAGCGAAGCACGAACAAGCATCACCACTTCCAACGAGCTGCTGCCGCTGTGGCCGTGCCATCATGCGACGAGACCAGACCCGCAGAGGCGGATTCTCGCCCCACTTGAGTTGACTGTATGTACGACGGGCTGACGCCCTCTTTCGGAGGGACCACGAGGGCATGAAGGAGGACACGTGGCATGGGGTGCTGAGGAGCTGTGCATTGGGGACCATGCATGCTCGCTGTGTGGTGCTCAAAATGAAATTGGAATTCTGCTTTTGCTCGTGCGCCTCGAAAGATCCCACCCAAAATACTCCAACCAACTCTGCCGACGGAAATGGCTTCCCTCCCAGGGGCAAGGGGCACAATTTTGAAGCGCGTTTCCGTGGATCAAGCGAGATCTGCTGCTTGCTCCCGCCTTCATTCGTGCAGAGCACTGCGATCTCATGAGAGTTTTACTGGCTTGAAAGTCGCGCGCCATGGCGTCAGTGCAAGGCCGCCGCGATTCGCGAAACGAGAGAGACGAGTCGCGCGCTCCTGCGACGGAGAAGGGAGAGCGCGACGAAGGAGCGCCGGCGACTGAAGGTGGCGGAGCAACGGGCGAGCAAGGGCAGGAAGGAACGACGAGGCGTGAAGGCAGTGCTCAGACGACCAGGGTGGTGAACGCGGATAAGAGCGCGCAAGGTGGGGAGGCAAAACAGACAACAACAGGTGGTGGTGCTGCTGCGGGCGGTTCTGCTGGCAAATCAGGTGACGATGGAGGTGAAGGCAGGACAGGCGGCAAGAAGGGGGAGGGGCAAGGAGACGTGCAATCGGAAGGGATGGGGAGTGGTGCTCCGGGAGAGGGGGAGAGAGTGAAGGAGAGTGCTGAGGTTAGGAAGGGTGGCGGGAAGGCAGAGAAGGCTGTAGGTGGGGTTGAGGCGGACGGAGGTGGTGGCTCTGTTGAGCAGGAGGGGAAGGCAGAGGAGAAAGGCAAGCAAGGAGAAGGGGATGTGAAGGGCAGTGTGCTGCCCCCTACTCATGTTGAGGGTCCCTCCCCTGCGACTGCCTCTGCCTACTGCGCACAGCGTGTGGCAGCAGGCACCCAGCTCACTCCTGCTGAGCCCACAGTTCCCCACTCCGCTCACAGCAGCAGCCTCTATCCCCTTGCTGCTGCCACCAACCCTTTCGCCATGCAGCTTCCCTCCGTAGCCCCCACCGCTCTGCCCGCTGCTGCTGCTGCTGCCTCTCCATCTACTGTCGCTCCATCTGCCTCAGTGGCAGCACCAGCATGTGCATTCCCTGGCACGGCAGCAGCAGCAGCATTCCATGCCATCCCCCCTGGTGGTCGTCGCATGCGCGTGGCAGGAGGCATGGCACGCACGGGAGGGGTGGTGAGTGTGCGGCGTGCAGAAGCTGTGCTGCCCGTGCAGCCCAGCGTGGGTGTGCACGGCAGCGTGGCAGGTACAGGAGGGGTGCATGCCCAGGCTGCTGTGGAAGAAGCAGCACGAGTGACTCCACGCACTGATCCGGAAGAGCATAGGGGGCCTGCACCCATGGATGTGGAGGAGGGGAAGAATGAGAGCATGGAGAAGTAGGGATGTGTTTCTTAGTGGCAAATTTGGATGTCTGGCCTTATCATTTGGTCCAAGTACAGTACCATTCTTTGTGGTTGCTTCGGCATGTATATTTTTGCTGTTTGTATAGCCTTGTACGGTAAATACTTGTCCAGCTGTAGAATGCAGACAATTGTGTGCTTCTCCAGTTGATACGGTAGCAGCACGATTGAGGTTCAGGTGCATTCACCACCAAGCACCTGATTCGTCCCTCCTAACCCTGTTTCAGTGCCAGTGTCAGACTATAATCTCTTCATAATGGAATCGAGGATGCCATACAGAAAAGTAGATCAATTTGACAACCTTTAAGCAGACTCTTCGTTGCAATTAGTTACTAAACGCCGCACATTGGCACTAGTTACTACCGCCTCTGCCGCAATTCCGCCATTCGACGGTCGCGATTTGCATAGACCCTCTGCTCGGCGTGTCCCATTCTCCAGATTCAGTGTGTTTGATATTCGCAGGCGCGCTCATGTCGACGACTCTCAATGTCGTTCTGACCTGCCACATGCACATTCACAAGCACCTATACACACACACACACAGTCACCAACAGTCACATACCCCCAACATCATGTCATTCTGACCTACCAGATACACTGTCACACTCACTTATACACACACATAGTCACGAACACTCACTTATACACACACATACACAAACATTTATACAAACACACACTTACTGTCATTTTCACCTGCCAGATACATATCCACAGACACTAATCACTCGCCTCACACTCACTCAGTCACTCCCTCGCATCTCTTTATCATTCTCACCTGCCAAATACACAGTCGCACGCATTCATACATACATCGCACTCACACACACACGTCACTTACCACCACAAAGTCATTCTCCCCTGCCAGATGCAGTCACTCACACAATACACACACACAGTCACCTGTACTCACTCGCCTCACACTCCCAATCACTCAATCACATCTCAATGTCACTCTCACCTGCCAGATACACATTCACACACTCACACACACATCACATTCACACACACTTCTGCACACACAGAGTCACCAACACTCATATACAGCCAAACTCACACACACGCACACACACACACGAACTCCCTCCTGCACTCACTCAATCACACTCACTCACACACTTCCACTCACAATCAGTCACACTCACATGCAGTGCCCACACACATCCACCAACTCACGCACAGACTCACAAACACTCACTCACACTTACTCAGACTCACATCCTACTCAGCCCACCCCAGAAATTCCAGCTCCAGGGCATTCCACTCAGCTCCGTATCCTCTCCAAACCACCCAAGCGGTTTCAGTCCCCCTTCCTTCTCACTCACCCACCCATGGGGTTTCAGTCCCCCTTCCTTCTCACTCACCCACCCATGGGGTTTCAGTCCCCCTTCCTTCTCACTCAACCACCCAGCCCATCCCCACCTTCACCTGCCAGCAGCAGGAGCAGCAGAAAGCCCACCCAAGGGGATTCACCCCTTCCTTCTCACCCATCCCATTCAAGGGGATTCACCCCTTCCTTCTCACCCATCCCACCCAAGGGGATTCACCCCTTCCTTCTCACCCATCCCACCCAAGGGGATTCACCCCTTCCTTCTCACCCATCCCACCCAAGGGGATTCACCCCTTCCTTCTCACCCATCCCATTCAAGGGGATTCACCCCTTCCTTCTCACCCATCCCACCCAAGGGGATTCACCCCTTCCTGCTCAACCATCCCACCCAAGGGGATTCACCCCTTCCTTCTCACCCATCCCACCCAAGGGGATTCACCCCTTCCTTCTCACCCATCCCACCCAAGGGGATTCACCCCTTCCTTCTCACCCATCCCACCCAAGGGGATTCACCCCTTCCTTCTCACCCATCCCACCCAAGGGGATTCACCCCTTCCTTCTCACCCATCCCACCCAAGGGGATTCACCCCTTCCTTCTCACCCATCCCACCCAAGGGGATTCACCCCTTCCTTCTCACCCATCCCACCCAAGGGGATTCACCCCTTCCTTCTCACCCATCCCACCCAAGGGGATTCACCCCTTCCTTCTCACCCATCCCACCCAAGGGGATTCACCCCTTCCTTCTCACCCATCCCACCCAAGGGGATTCACCCCTTCCTTCTCACCCATCCCACCCAAGGGGATTCACCCCTTCCTTCTCACCCATCCCACCCAAGGGGATTCACCCCTTCCTTCTCACCCATCCCACCCAAGGGGATTCACCCCTTCCTTCTCACCCATCCCACCCAAGGGGATTCACCCCTTCCTTCTCACCCATCCCACCCAAGGGGATTCACCCCTTCCTTCTCACCCATCCCACCCAAGGGGATTCACCCCTTCCTTCTCACCCATCCCACCCAAGGGGATTCACCCCTTCCTTCTCACCCATCCCACCCAAGGGGATTCACCCCTTCCTTCTCACCCATCCCACCCAAGGGGATTCACCCCTTCCTTCTCACCCATCCCACCCAAGGAAATTCACCCCTTCCTTCTCACCCATCCCACCCGAGGTGATTCACCCCTTCCTTCTCACCCATCCCACTCAAGGGAATTCACCCCTTCCCTCTCACCCATCCCACCCGAGGGGATTCAACCCTTCCTTCTCACCCATCCCACCCAAGGGGATTCACCCCTTCCTTCTCACCCATCCCACCCAAGGGGATTCACCCCTTCCTTCTCACCCATCCCACCCAAGGGGATTCACCCCTTCCTTCTCACCCATCCCACCCGAGGGAATTCACCCCTTCCTTCTCACCCATCCCACCCAAGGGGATTCACCCCTTCCTTCTCACCCATCCCATTCAAGGGGATTCAGTCCCATTCCCTCTTAACCACCAAACTCCCCTTCCCTCTCACCCACCGAACCCAAGGGGATTCAGTCAGTCCCTTTCCCTCTCACCCACCCTACCCAAGGGGATTCTGTCCCCTTCCCTCTCCCAACCGCTCAAGGGGATTCAGTCCCCTTCTCTCTCACCCACGTTTCAGGCCCCTTCTCTCTCACCCACCCACCCAACCCGTCCCCACCTTGACCTACCAGCAGGCAGTACGAGCAGCAGAAAGCCCACCCAAGGGGTTCCACGCCCCACTTACCCACCCAAGGGGTTCCACGCCCCACTTACCCACCCAAGGGGTTTCAGGCCCCACTTACCCACCCAAGGGGTTTCAGGCCCCAATTACCCACCCAAAGGGTTTCAGGCCCCTTCTCTCTCACCCACCCACCCAACCCATCCCCACCTTGACCTACCAGCAGGCAGTACGAGCAGCAGAAAGCCCACCCAAGGGGTTCCACGCCCCACTTACCCACCCAAGGGGTTCCACGCCCCACTTACCCACCCAAGGGGTTTCAGGCCCCACTTACCCACCCAAGGGGTTTCAGGCCCCAATTACCCACCCAAAGGGTTTCAGGCCCCTTCTCTCTCACCCACCCACCCAACCCATCCCCACCTTGACCTACCAGCAGGCAGTACGAGCAGCAGAAAGCCCACCCAAGGGGTTCCACGCCCCACTTACCCACCCAAAGGGTTTCAGGCCCCACTTACCCACCCAAGGGGTTCCACGCCCCACTTACCCACCCAAGGGGTTCCACGCCCCACTCACCACCCAAGGGGTTTCAGGCCCCACTTACCCACCCAAGGGGTTTCAGGCCCCACTTACCCACCCAAGGGGTTTCAGGCCCCACTCACCACCCAAGGGGTTTCAGGCCCCACTTACCCACCCAAGGGGTTTCAGGCCCCACTTATCCACCCAAGAAGTTTCAGGCCCCACTTACCCACCCAAGGGGTTTCAGGTCCCACTCACCCGCCCAAGGGGTTTCAGGCCCCACTCACCACCCAAGGGGTTTCAGGCCCCACTCACCACCCAAGGGGTTTCAGGCCCCACTCACCACCCAAGGGGTTTCAGGCCCCACTCACCACCCAAGGGGTTTCAGGCCCCACTCACCACCCAAGGGGTTTCAGGCCCCACACACCACCCAAGGGGTTTCAGGCCCCACTCACCACCCAAGGGGTTTCAGGCCCCTTTCTCTCTCAGTCTCCCACCCAGCCCATCTCACCTTGACCTACCAGCAGTAGGAGCAACAGAGAGCCCACTTTCTTAAGGAAAAAGCACCCCCAGAGGCAGTGCCTTGTGGGCTGAAGTGTGGCGGTGGAAAATTGCTTCCAGCCCAAGACTCAAATCCCACCCCTGACGTAGCCAGAGCTGACGCGAACCAGAGCCGCCGGCCGGTCGGCTCTGACGGTGTCCATTAGGCCTTGAACGCCAGATCGGTTACTTGAGCACCGAGTGCCGTGCCGCGCAGATTCCACCCACCACACCCCGACCACAAGGCACAACCCCAGGAGATGCTGTCCCTAAGGCAGTGAACTCCAAGCTTACTCCCCTGCTCCCCCACCCACCCACCCCACACTTCACCCCCATGCCTCCTTACCTCTACTTACCTGTACTTACCTGAGCCGTGCAGAGCACCATGATGCTGAGGCTGCTGGGAAGGAGGGGGGGTGATTGGGAGAGGGAAGGACTCCTCTGTCATCCAGGCAGGGTGCTGCTGGGAGGGAAGGGAAAAGGGAGAGAGGAGGAGGTGAGTGAGAGGGTGGACTCCACTCTCCCGCCCTTGCTCCAGTGCTCCCACCTTCAGCCTGCAGGAGGGGAAGAGAGAGAGAGGAGAGAATCAGCTTACCATGCCTCACCTGTTACCGTACCACACCTGTTACCATACCAAACCTTGTACCGTACCTCACCTGCAACTGTATCTACCCTAGTCTGCCCTCTAGCCCCCCAGCCCCCACTGCTGCTACTGCTGCTGCTGCTGCTGCTGCTGCTGCCGCTTCTGCTGCTACTACTGCTGCTGCCGGTATGCTACTCTGCTTCCCCTGCCGCTGTTAGTGCTGCTGCTGGTCTGCTACAGCCTTCAATGTACTGGGAGGGAAGGGAGAGGGAGGGAGGCAGGGGAGCAAGGGAGACCAGTGAGAATGGGACGAAGAGCAGGCAGCAG